TGCTAGAGCGTCCCATATTCGAGGGACATGACTGTTTTATCTGAAGGTGACAAGTGAGGTTACTCTAGAGGTGCGTGTGTGAATTGTGTTTTGATTTCAGTTAATTTGTCTAGCAGTTGATTTTAAATCTTTCCATACACGTTTAATTACTATACAATGATAAGTAAAAGCGGTAAAGTGCGGAAACTAAATTTTTACGCAATTACAATGCTTCAGGAATAGGGGGTACAAATTTATGAATGTGGATGTATCGAATCTAAAGTTTGATTAAAAGTCTAAATAAACAATCAATACAACCCAATCGAAAATAAACAATTAATTAAACTAAAACAATCTATTTAAAATTAATTAGAAAAATAATTAATAATAAAAATAATATATTACTAATTTAAATCTAAACTATAATAATAATAAAGAATACTACTTTAAATCTAAACTAAATTAAACATAAGATTACTAATTTAAATCTAAACCAAAATAATTATAGAAAGAAGTGAAAATTGGGGGTGTATAACAGAAATCGGAATTGGGCTTAAGCAATTCAAGGCCCAAAACGGATTATATAAATAAAAAAATGGATTGGGTTCAGGTTGTTATAAGGCCCAATTGTTTGATTAATTGAGCAAAGCCCTAGACTACCAACTAATAGCTGATCATCTGCCTCATTCAACATAAAAGAAATCCTCCGTTCTCCCTCACAAGAAGACGTGTTGTTGATATTTTCTTTAAATGAAGAAGAAAACTGGAGCGGATGAATAGAACGAGAGTAAGAACATGGACGCGTTCGAAGAGAGTGAAGTTGAGAACAAACGAAGACAATGGTATACGACAGTTTGCAGCAGCGTGTTGTTTGAAGAAGAAGGATGAAGGATGGTGAAAGCACTGCAGGAGGAGGGAAGAAGGCTGATAATTTGAGATAAGTTGCATCCTAATTTCTAACCCTAATCCCTAACACAACAATTTTCCACCCTTTTCTTTTTAATGTTTTTTTAAAATTATTTTTGCTGTTTGTTTAATCGATGAATCTTAAAGGGAATAAAGGTTTGGTGGATGTTTAAAAAAAATTCCTCCGTTCTCTCTCACGTCAATTTTTATTTGCTTCCCAATTTCTCACGGTATCTCTTCCTGCTCTCAAATGCTCAACAACAATAACTCTCAAAGAAATCCCTTGGTTTTTATCATCCGATGGTAAGTTACAACAAACTCCAGAAGAAACAAAAAAAACAGTATTACAGAATCAACGGAAGAAAAACATTGAATTAAGATCCTAAACATCCACATACAAGTATCAACGATTACCGATTGAGGAAGAAAATAGATTTACGGTAACAGCGATTACGAAAAAAAAGAGCAAGAGTCAAAAGAAAAGTTACCAACAAATACGAGAGCTTATCCAGAATAATCAGGTATGCGTAGTTCTTCTTTGCTCTGTGTTTCTCCTTTTGTTCTTCGTTTCTGCTTTCGTGTTTATGATATTTTTGTGATTTGCTCCTCTGCTTCTGTGCTTCTGTGTAAGCGGATTTGAGGGAGTTTATGAGTGTTGCAGTTTTGGTGAATGTATTGAGGGTTCGCGGTTCAACAGAGGTGAGTGAGGTTTGGGTTGTTGAGGGAATTTTGTAGTGGTTATGAATTGAGAGTTTGTTATGCAGAGAAATGTTTTAAAGGTATATGCTTCTAATCTCTTCCTTTTTTTCTCATGTATATGTTCTGATTTATAGCAGATGTGAGGGTTATTTGAGAGGGTAAATTTGGTGAATTTAAACACTTTTGGTTAGTGTTTCATTGTCTTTCTAATGCATCTTTTGTTTTTTCTAATTTGGTGCAATATTTGGCCTGGTATATGAAACAACCGGCTGAAAATCATCAAACAATGAAGTCGCCATCGAACGTATTTTATCCCACGTGAAGGGAAAGGTAAACATCGAAAAAACCTTAGAAGGGATAAGTCACGGTCTTGCGATCGAGAGATCGAGTAAGGGATTCAGTTACGCGAGGGAAAGGTATTAGCACCCCACACACCTGTAGTACTCTATAGTATCCACTCTTGTTGTATATCTTATGGGTGTGTTTAATCTATGCTTACTGTTTACTGCTAAGGAAGAATGCATGCAAAAGAAATGAGAAAATAATCTAGGGAAAATAAAGTTGTACTCACTTGGGCCCTACCCTAATGCCTACGTATCCTTTTTGAGGAATCAGAGCTACCGTAGTTTGAATCACATGTTTTAGTTTGTTTTGTGTTTTTTAATTGAATAATGTTAGGTTCGAATTAATCCACCACGACTCGACCTTTGGAGACTCACGGCCTGCAGCAGAAGGGAACTAACATGTTATTAGAAAAGAAATGCCGATTGGCAAAAAGAAAGGTGTTGGTTTGTCTTTTTTATCTTGAGAAAGGATCTGAAAGTTTTAGGTGTTTTGTGATTTGCACAGAAAAAGAAAAGAAAGGTTTTTGTTTTATTATGCAAAGGATGCAAAAGAAAAGAAAACATCTAAGGGAGACTAACCTAAGTCCATCCCTGCTGTTATCACACAAATGATTGACCATAAAGTTGAGTTTTGAAGGGAAAACTCTAACCTATCTTGATATGCATGGATAACAATCCTAACGCCTATCTCAAATCATCATCTATAGATGAATCAAGAAGTCCTAAAGGAGCATAGCAAGGGTCTATCACCTAAAACCATGTTTATCTCAAATCATCGTCTATATTTGAGACGAGAGCTCCTAAGGGAACATGCTGAGGGTATATCTTCTCAAAACATACACACAAAGACAAAATCAAGCAAGCAAGCCAACAAGCTTAAGAGAGCACAAACAATATGTCGTGAGCAACACATGTTAACTCAAGTCAAATGCCTAACTATGATATAACGATCAAGGTAGGTATAAAATTAGGTAGGGATGCTTTAGCCAAGAGGTCATATCAACCAAGGTAAACAAGCAGGGAGAGGATAGAAGAAAATAACACAAAGCATCAACGTCGACCAACACAAGCTCAAGAAAAAATGTGGGTGATTGATTACAGATTCCTTTTCCACTTGACGACTCGATAACCATGATCTGCACAACTCTGAAGCATCGACGTACAACGTGAGCTAAGGATGACACGAACTAGAATGTGCGAGGGTCGATTACGGACCCTCCCTGCTTGCCTGCTTTTAAGGACTTATTATCTGTAATATAATGCAGGCACAAATGTAAATACACGTGCGGAATACCTACTTCAAAGGTAAGATTTTAAACAATCACAATTAGCATACAGTAAGTGGTGCCTGCTACAGGACTTTAAACAGCGACTTCGAGCGCACGCTCTTTTTATTTCCTGCTTCCTACTTCTTATGATTTCTAGAAAGCGGTAAAATACAGTATTTATAATATTTACAACATAATGGTCCTAATGTGTATCAAACGGATAAAACAAATCTGTTTATAGCAAGCTCTACAACAATATCAGAAATCTTTCTACAAAAGCTCCAAAAACTAGCATCCATAAGCAAGCAACGTTAGAAAAACTGATACGCAAATGGAAGCAAGCATCTGTCACCAAAGCGGCCAATCCAAACTTGTTTTTCAATATATTCACAACTCACCAAAATGGTTAGCAAATAACAACAAAATTGAAATACAAATGGTAAGTAAGCAATCAATGATTAAAATAACAAGATTATGAACAATACAAAATAGGCAAGCTACTTGAACATAGCATGGCATTTCTGAGCACCATTGCATTAGTACCAAAAATGCACCAAAATTGGTATAAAAGTGAGCAAAGTGAAATCCGGCATAAGTATGAATTGTGAATGGTCAAGTAGTGAAAAGTGAATCATGTTTAGGTACTAATAACCATACTCTGGACAAACATGCCATATTCAAGTAATTGCACTCAAAAAATGGTAAAAACGCATATGTACAAGTTAACGGTATTAACAAAATGCGGTATTTACATAAAGTAGAAATGTAGACATTCAATGTACAAACTAAAAAGTTAGAATATTTTCTACAAGTTAGTATATTTACACACTAAAGGGAATGGTATCATGGACCAACGTTAGTGCAAAAACGGTATTTTCAAGAAAAGTCATAATACGTGCATAAATCGAAAAATGCTTTCGAAACAAGTGGTAGCCTCTTGAAAACCATCCGGAATGATTTATAAAAATTATGTGCAGCTATACATGTGCCAACAATTGCAAAAATGTGTTCGCCTCGGTCAAATTGCACTCGAAAACTCAATTTTCACAACAATTCTGGTTTAGGAAAAATTGGGTGAAAAATGCCCGAATCGAAAAACTGAACGCGTAGGAAGTTCCGTGTGGCTCAGGATACATGGTTTTCGTTAAAGAAAGTTAGAAAAATTCAAAGCGGTTCACAAGTTATGGCAAAAATCAGTTTGTGTCAAAAAATGACATATTTTCCAAATATTGAGATGTTTTCCACTAAACTCAATCCAACTTGTTTCAAATGAGTTTTTCTATGACATTAGAGTAGGGGTGTTCGCGGTGCGGTTTGGGCGGTTTTGAAGAAAAAAATCATCCGAACCGCAAGGGAAAAAAACATGCGGTTCGGTTTAGTTCGGTTCATTGAGAAAAAAAAATCCAAACCAAACCAATGCGGTTTGGATTGGTTCGGTTTTGTTAAATGTATAAATGCATAACACATATTTACTCACATGCGGTAAGGTAACACTACTGTTGTTACAATTAACTTTCATATATTCTCACAATTTGACACTAATGTGAGTTTTTTCTTCTTGCACACAATTTGACAATAATTAAAATAGTATGCAATCAAATGCAATATTCAAAATAGTTGACATGAAAATAGTATTTAATACATAAATTAACCATCAAAGTAGTATTCAATCACTAATAATCAAAAGCATCAAATTAACCATCAAAGTAGTATTCATTTCAATACATAAATTAACCATCAAAATAGTATTCAAACGAAGGACTTTAAAGTCATCAAAACTCAAAAGCACTAATAATATGTTTCTTCAATTGTTTCTTCTTGCTTCTTGGATTGAGATGCCAAGTTGTAAATCACCTTCAAGCAATAACCTTCAAAACACAAATCAAGTTGTAAATAATTATAAGACCCAAACCAAACTTATTAGATTTGTATGGAATGTCGGGGCCCAAACTCATTTTTTGAAAACCCTAAAACAAACGGCAATCAACTTTGATACATGAGTTTCTAGATTTTATTGATGAAATTCTTGCTTCGAGATGGAGAAGAGGAATGAATATTTAGGATTTTATTAAATAACTCTGGAAGAAGAAAAGGTTCTAAAAAACAATCTATTATTTTTGTTGGTTAATCTTAAAAGCATATGAAATGATATGGAAGAATTTTGTTACAAATCTATGAATTGAAGAATTTTGTTACAAATCTATAAATTTCTTGGCCGGTCTATAGTAGAAAAGATCGACATTTAGGCCAACATATATTCTTGTATATGGGTGGGTGGATAGGAGGAAAACATACATGTGTAGACTTACTTGACTGAGATTTCTCCCCTGGTGGGACTGATTTTTTAGCACAACAAATAGTTGATCTTTTACGGAGAGTGCAAAAATTCATGCATAATAATATTGTGTCTCGAAGGAAAATGAATGTAGTTTTTAAAAGGAATGATTTTGTCATTTAAAAAGGTGTATCGGTGCAACTTATTGTCCATTTACCTGCTCTTTTCTGTATAATCTTGATTATATTAATGAAGTTCAAAACTTATATAAAATCTATCATAAAAAATCAGATTCAAATACGAAGCTCTGTTGTTGCTGATGTAGGAAGAGAAAGAAACGAAAAACTAAAAACTGTCTCAAAAGCTTTAATGACTTCAAATACCATTAAGAAGACTTTGGAAACTTTTATCTTGAAGAAATAGTGGATGAAACTGTGATTCTCTTTAAAGAAATGCAATCCAAAACTGTGACTCCTAATACAATAACATACAATTCCCTTAATGACAAACTTTGCAAATTTAGGAGAATCTATGATGTTTTAAGGAAATCACCTACTAATGTGATCACCATTCACCAGCATTGTTTCCTTCAGTGGCATATTTCTATGTTCAATGCAACTATAATTGAATAAATAAACAGTAATCGATACATTTCAAAACCGAGGGCTCAAAGTTAAACATGAACTTACAAGATAATATCATTACTTGGCCTCCATATCCTGACAAGTTTGTCATAGAATGAGCAAGTGGCAACTACTGGTTTACTTCTCCCTTCAATGAGCTTCACTTCTCCTTTCTGCCAGTCTGATCCATATGCAAGTGAATCATGCTTCTTGTATGTTTCCAACACCTCAGCTTTGTCGCCTTTAATACCAACGATCGCAAAACCGTTGTGCATACAAGCAGCCAAAACAAGGCCTTGAATGACGGGATGGTGTTTCACCCTCCAAACACCTCCACCTAAACTGATTGAAGTTTCATTAACAGGTTTTGAGATTGATCTTAAATCCCAAACCCTCAAGAATTCATCATAGCTGCCAGTTAATAATCTATTTGGGTCATGAGGACTCTTTTCGATGCAAGTAACACCCATTGTGTGGACTTTGGAGTTCTTAAATACAAGATTGGAAGGACTGTCCCTCAAATCCCAACAACAAAACTTACAATCGTCAGAGCCGGTATAGACCAAATTTGGCTGTTGGATATCAAAAGAGGTTGTCCAAAGTTCAAAATCATGTGCCTTCCACTCCTCTTGTATTTCCAGCTTGGATTCAAGAAGAGAAACAATAGAGACACAGCCATCAGAAAGCCCAACTGTGATTGATGTGGATGAAGGATTCCAATCGAGGAACAAACACATTGAGTTACTAATTTTCTCACTTGTAATCTCTTTTAGACAAGTCCCTGCCGTTGAATCAATAACAATTTTTAATACAATGTAGCTCAGTAAAGGAATGAATGGCAGCTCTCTTTTGCAAAATATAAACTTAGAAACAAGAGAATATGATGGTGCGATTGAGTCCAAGAATAAATGCCAGTATTCAGTGTTGTCCATGGCGGAAAGCCAAAATCCCGCTATACCAAATGCTTTGCGGCACAGTCATTTGACAACACTGAGGGTAAGTGCTAAAGAATTTATTTTTAGACTTCTATCAAGCTTGTAGTTGTACTCACCAGTGAAAATAGTGTTATAGAAATGAAAGAATCAAGAGACAAATCCATACCTTCCACTCCATCACAGCAACCATCCAGCCTCTTAATTCTCAAGTATCCATCAGCATCTGCTTGACCTAGAAAAGGACTTGTGTTCCCTGAGGGTGGATTCCACTTTATATCGAAAATCCCACTAGTCTCCTCACTATAAACGGTCTCAAAATTGTCTGTGTCCCCATCAACATTGAATAGTGAAATGCTTCCACATCTAGTGGGTTGATCAGCTTCTTGTAGTGTGTAAGTGGACGCTGCTAAAACATTGTGGTGCCCATTATGTGGGCAAAACTCCACAGCATCTGCATTACCTTCTAAATAGCAATGTGCTACATCCATGCTGACCAAATAATTGTCTGTTATGAACCCACAAATAAGAGACGAATTCAAGATAGAATGAATTTCCTGTAAGGAGTTTGTAAATTGTTAGAATTCAAGATAAAATGTTCTGGAACTTAGGTCTTCTTCATATTTGGTACTTAGGCCTGTCTAATTGGCACACAGGCCTACTTTAAAACATTTTGTGCGCGAGAGTATTCAATGAATGACTTAAAACCGACTTCTGAAACAATAAGCATGAACACGAATTTATATGACACATTTCTTGCATTTAAAAATCTTACTAAGATTCTACATCTCACGAATATGAAGTACTAACGTCACAGTTAAGTTCTTATCTCATTCACAATTAACCACCAATTATACACTCCAAAAATCACCAATTTAATACACAAACAGTATATACTTATGGTTCATGATCAAGAGTTCCCATTACAAGCAAATGCTATAGGTCACCAAGAAAGACTCAAATGCAAATAAGAAAACACATAGAAATAGATAACCTTAAATCAAAGCACAAATTCCTACATGCACGGGTATTCTAAAAGGAAAACCCACACGGAACATTTTACAAACACCTTATATGCACATTAAAAAAAAAGTGGAAATTTTGAGAATGCTGACCGTGAAGAAACTAGAAAAGAACAAACGGTGAAGCACTAGTTCTTGGATATTCCTCTTTCTTGGTGGAGATTGAAGTAGAGATGAATCTATTTTGAGGAGGGAACAGAGGTGAAGATGTTGAGGAGTGAGCGTGACTATATCCCGGTAAAAGAGAAGGGTGAGAGAAATTATTTATGAAAAAAAAATTCTCATATATATAAGAGAAATACTTTAAATAGTTTAAATATATGTCTTTGTTTGGGTTAATGAAATCGGTTGGAACATAAGTATAAAATGAATAAAAATGATATTCTATTTTTTTTTTGGATAAATTTAAAAATGGATAGAACATATTAGAATGGAGTGCTGTAGAGTCCATTTTGTTAGAAGTATAATTTTTGTTCTGTCGAAATGCATGTGTGGTGTAAGTCGAATAGCTTATTATATAGGTTATAAGTTGTATTTGACAGAGTTGAATACAACAGATATTGTAGTATGTCGAAATTATATTTTGGACTTTAGCGTGTTTTGTCTAATTAGGCATGGACATTATTTGCCTATATAAAGGGTTGCTGAGTTTGTAATCAGTGTGTAATCAATAACAAATTTTTACAATGCAGTTAGAATCACAACAAACTTTTAATATCTCTCTCTCTCTTTCTCTCTCTCTCTCTCTCTCTCTCTCTCTCTCTCTCTCTCTCTTTTTCTTCTTCCTCTTCCATAAATCATCTTTCTTGAAAATCTTTTGTTCCAATAAATTGGTATAACAGAGCTCGATTGTGATTCAGAGAGAATCTAATGACAAACGGGACAACATCGTCAATGCAGTTTCTAACGAATCAACCGGTTTTCAAAGGTGAAAACTATCAGCGATGAGTTGCGCAGATGAAGGTTATTTTCATATTTCAAGATGTTGTTGAAATCTTGAATGATGGAGTATCAGAACTGGAAGTAAATGCGATGGAAGCCCGGAAAACTGCGCACAAAGAACAGAGGAACAAAGATGGTAAATCAATGTTCTTGATTCACCAGTGTGTGGATTCTGATGTATTTGAGAAGATAATTGAAGAAGAAACAGTAAAAGGAGTTTGGGAAAAGCTAAATAACTTGTATGGTGGAGATGAGAAATTGAAGAACGAGAAGTTGCAGACGCTAAGGAAGTAATACGAGATGCTTCAGATGAAAGAAGATGAATCAATTTTTGTATATTTCTCAAGAATTATGACGGTAACAAACCAAATGAAGGCATGTGGTGAATCAGTTACAGATCTGCAGAAGATAGAAAAGGTGTTGAGATCATTAACTGCAGATTTTGACTACATTATTGTGACAATTGAAGAGGCCAAGACTCTATCTGAGATGAAGTTGGAAGAACTTCAAGCTTCATTGGAGGCTCATGAAATGAGGTTGAAGCATAGAAACTTAGAAAGAGAGAAGGTGACTGGACATGCATTGCAATAAAGATTCAGCAAGAAAGTTGGAAAAGAGAAGTCAAAGCAGCGAAAGAATCTTGCTAGTTATGAGAAGTCAAGCAAGATTACTGATTCGATCAAGAAAGGTGTGGGGTAACAAGTATTCTGGGAAGAAAGTTGACATGAAAGAGGTGCAATGTTATAATTGTCTATGTTTTGATCATCATACTAGAGACTGTTGAAGAAAGAAAGTTGTGAGGGCGAAAGATAGTGATAAAGCTCAATATGCACGAGCTAGAGATAGTGATTTTGATGATGTATTGTTGATGGTGAACACTCAATCGAACACTGAGAAAAACAACATGTGGTATCTGGATTCAGGATGCAACAACCACATGACTGACAATAAAATCTGGTTTACCAAGTTAGATGAGTCAGTCAAAAAGATGATAAAGTTTGCAGATGGCAGGCACATCAAATCAGGTGGTAAAGGAGATATTTCGATTATTATGAAGGATTATCGAAAATCTACTATCATTGAAGTGCTATATGTACCTTCTATGACAAGTAACTTGATAAGTGTAGGTTAATTACTTGTAAAAGACTTCAACATGAAGCTGGAGAAAAATCAAATGAAGGTATATAGGGCTAATGAGAGGGTAATAATGAAAGCACCATTGACGGAGAACAAAACGTTCAAAGTTGAACTCAACACATCAGATCACAAATGTCTTACTTCAACTACAGAAGAAGACAAAAATTGGCTATGGCATCACAAGTATGGACATCTAAACTTCAGAAGTTTATGCATGCTCAATCAGAAAAGGATGGTGTTTAGGTTATCGTATGTAAAGGAACCAAATCAGGTATGTGAGGAATGATGCAAAGAAAAACAGTCTAGGAAGGCATTTAAACATGACTTGCTCGTGAAATCAAAGCAAAAACTGGAGTTGGTTCATTCTGATGTGTGTGGACCCTTTGAAGTAAAGTCAAATAGAGGTAACATGTATTTCCTTACTTTTATTGATGAATTCACCAGACATATGTGGATTTACGTTATTGAAAGGAAGAGTGGGGTATTCACACGGTTCAAGAATTTCAAGTTGCGTGTTGAGAAATAAACTGGCTACAAATTGAAGAAGTTAAGAACTGACAGTGGTGGTGAATATACTTCTGCTGAATTTGCTAGATTTTGCAATGAGAAAGGTATAGATCATGAGGTTATTGCATCCTATACGCCTCAACATAATAGCATAGGTGAGAGAAAGAATAGAAGTATACTGAACATGACGAGAAGTATGTTGAAAGCTAAAGATATGCCTAAGAGATTTTGGGCTAAAGTAGCTTCAACAACAGTATATATTCTAAATAGATGTCCAACAAAGAAGATGGTCGAAAAGACACATCATGAGGCTTGGACATGGTCGAAGCCAAATGTGAGTCATCTTAAAGTTTTTGGATCAATGTGCTTCAGGCATGTACCTGAACAATTGAGAAAGAAGTTGGATGATTGAAGTGAAGTCATGGTGCTCATAGGTTATTATTTGACTGGTGCATATAAGTTGTATTCTCCAAACGAAGATAAACCAGTAATCATTCGAGATGTTCTTATAAATGAAAGCAAAGGGTGGGACTATAGACGAAGTTTAGTTCGACAAGAATCAGATACAGTCACAAATGTGTTCAAAGAAGATGAACAAAATGAAACTTCAACTAGTCAAAATAAACAGGATGATGCTTCAACCAGTCAAAATGAAGAACCACCTGTGCAGAATGAAAGAAGGTCGATAAGAATAAGAACATAATCGATAAGGCTAACTGGATATGAAAGGTCTCCAGATCAAGCAGTTGATGCAAATGGTGACTTAATCGAAGAAGTCGTGATGATGGTTGAAGCAGAACCAATTGATTTGGATAAAGTCGTAATCAATTTGAATTGGTGTGAAGTCATGAAAGAAGAACTCAGATTTATTGAGAAGAACAAGACTTGGGAGCTTGTCGAAAGAACCAACAAGAAACCAATTGATGTAAATTGGATTTACAAGGTGAAACGAAGGCCAAATGGTGAGATTGCGAAGTATAAATCAAGATTGGTGGAGAGATATTTTCTACAAAAACCTGGTATCGACTTCTACAAAGTATATGCGCTTGTTGTGAGGCTAGAAACAATCAAAATTATTGTTTCGACAACAATATAGCTAGAGGATGGAAGATGCATCAGTTGGATGTAAAGTCAACATTCCTGGATGGTCCATTGGAAGAAGAAGCCTAATGTTACTCAACCACCATAGTTCAACGTCAAAGTGCATGAGTCGAAGGTATATATATATATATTAAGGAAGGCTATCTATGGTTTGAAACAAGCCCCTAGAGCTTGGAATAAGAGAATAGATAGCTTCCTGATTGAAGCAAGGTTTCACAAAGTGTGTCTCTGAACATGGGGGTGTATGTAAATGATATCAACAGTGTCAGTCGAATCATCTTATGCCTCTATGTTGATCATTTACTCATAACAGGAGCAGGACGAAGTTGAGATAGATAAAGGTAAAGTCAAAATTAATGCAGGAATTCAAAATGTCTGACTTAGGGAATCTCTCATATTTCCTAGGGATGGAATTCAAAGATACTGAAGAAGGAGTATTCTTGCATACAAACAAAGTGATGCTCGAGATGTTTTGAAGAGGTTTAAAATGAGAAACTGTAATGAAGTTATCACTCTGTTAGAAACTGGAACAAAGTTGAAAAAGGAAACGAATGATGAGTTTGTAAGTTCGACCCTTACAAAGAAAACATTGGATCCTTGAGATATCTTTGCAATACTAGACCAAATATCTGCCAAAGTGTAGGATTGTTGAGTAGATTTATGGAGAAACCACAAGAATGTCATCTCATCGCGGTAAAAAAAAGTGTTGATATTACATAAAGCGGAACAATTGATCATTGTGTGTTGTTACCAAAGAAGTCTAAGAACACCACAAATGTTGA